CCCCCCCCCCCCCCCCCCCGGCTCACTGGGTTCTTTAGGAAGTCAGAAAGTCTTTCAGATACAGGAGACCCAATCGGTGTAGTTAGCTTATGTTGCCAAGAGTCTGTCAAGTAAATAAAGCAACTGGAATTAAAGAGGAAAGGATTCTTGTACAGGCAAATGACTACAGTATGAAGCAGAAGGTAACAGTAAATGGTTTCTTTATCCACTGATGTTACATTGGAATCAGTCCAGGGCAGTTTGAGCTAGTTGACCAGGTAAAGACGTGAACAGTGAAGTGTGAAATCTTGGTGGTGATATTAAGCTTTAGAAAAGTACTAAGAATGAAGATCAGCTATAATAGTATTGAAAGACCTTATAAGGCTGCCTGAGCAATAACCTGGCAAATGAAATTACAGAGAGATATGTACAGGAACAGAAGGAAACAGTATTCTGTGTAGAAGATGGGGCTGTGAGCTCATTGTTACTGCCTGGAAGCTAGATTTTGGTGTTAGGACAACATGAGAGTCCAGTCATGGAACAGGACTGCATGAATTTTCATAGAGCCTCCTGCTGCTGACTGACCAAAAGCGGATATCTAGGGAAGAGCTAGAATATTTTGAGCAAACACATAGAGATGTTTTCCACTGCTTTTGTACTAGCCTCCAAGAATTTGCAATTGAAGGTCTTCCCTGATGAGAAGTTCAACTTCTGATAGGTTTTTGGTGTCTTATTCGCTAAGATATAGGAGTACGATTTGTTATGTAGTCCATTTGAGTGGGGAGTTAGAATTTGACATGTATCTTTGTAATATGTGTAATGGCAAGATAAATATCAGGATAGAAAGAAGACAGCAGTCCTAACTGTTGCAGGGCAAAGCTACAGTTCTTGTCTAAAGAAATGAAGAAAATTCTTGAACTGTTAGCTCTTTCCTTATAGTTACTCATTCACAAATGTACTTTGATGCAATCGTACTACTGTTCACAGTTATGACCTGAGCATTTTATGGGATGAAAATAGGAACTTTCACAGGTAAAGCACTCCGTTGTTATAAAAGTGTTTCGGAGGAACACTGACACATCTGTGTATGTTCTGAAGAGGTGGGCTTAGCTTATTGATGACAAAACTTAGTGGGATTATAGAAAGATGTGGTTATAAACAGTTTCCATTAAAAAAAGCTAAAACCAAACAAAAAACCCAACCCCTCCAAATAAACAAACAAACATTCCTTCATTAAAACGTATACTAAACTAGTTTTAGTAAAGCACACTGTTTGCTTGGCAGCTTATCTGTAACTTCTTTTTATGTGGAGAGACAGCTGAGAAGGTTGACTTATGTTAATGATTGAACAGAAACACACAGGTAAATAAATTACTGTATGGGCAGTTACCGGTTTGTGCCTTTGCTCTGTTGCTGCAATTGTGAGGTGCTGCTACATTTGTGTGTGCCTTGTGCAAAGTTTAAACTACACAATTGAAGGAGGATGCCTGTGGAGTTAAACAAGTCTCTTTTAAAACAAGGTAGTTTGTTTCAAGCAAATGTTTGTGTTGATGGATAGGATCGAAAAATTCAACGGAGTAGTTGTCTTTCCCTCCTCCCTCCCCTCCATTTGAGGTGCAAATTAATTTTAGTTAAAATTATGAAATGGTGTGTTTCTGTGTTTATAGGAAGGGACTGTCCAGAGGTTCCAGAAGTCGGTGTATCTCTGGAAAAAGTGGAGAGTCTCTTCCATCAGTTTTTGCCAAAAATGTGCAGGAAGCCATCGACAATTATACTTGGTATGCATGTACTGCTGTAACAGTACTTCATTAATGCACTTTTGATTTAGACATTTCAAGATGGGGATCAATTTTCACTTGTCATGCTTCTAGTTATTCTCATGGATAATAACTGTTGCACAACCTAATTCAGGATATAAATTGAACTAACCCATTTTTTAGAGGGTTTGAACTTTACTCCCGGTTTGCATTGCGGATTTGAGTATTTTGAGACTGTAGTAAAGGTCACTGATTAAGTCTGGAAGGAGAGTCAGACTTCATGATTCAGTTGAAATCATGCTTGCCAATGTTGTAGGTTAGTTAACTTTCAAGAAGTTTCATTTCAGATGACACTGGTTAGAATTTGCCTGGCCTGCACATTTGATTGCCATTACTTTCCCTGCATCCCAGTGTGGGTGGTAGCTGGCAGGGACCAGGTAGGACTTCGAGGACTTTAATGCCAGAGCTCAAGATTTAAAGTACACCAAGTTTAACAACATAGAAGGCACTGCATACAGATATATAATTCAATAGTATTTGAAGCATTTGTAGAGATCTTGTGCTTAGTTTTGCAAATGTTTTCTTGTGATAGCTTCTAATAGAGTTAAAGAAGGCTTATGTTATTTATAACATGTGGTATTTCGTAGGGTCACTAGCTGAACTGGGGAAACCAAATAATTGTTAGAGCTGGAAATATAGGTACATGGGTACAGATATATTTAAATACATACACACATATATGTGCATATTTTAGAGGGCCCATACAGTTGCAATGATATATATACATACAAAAGTATAATAGTGTAGGAGGAGTTGCCTTTAAGGCAGTAAATGGTACTAATAGGAGCAGGTATTCATAGCACTCTACTTGAAAATGTATGCTGTATACATGTTGCTGTCCATTTACGTGATAGGTTGCTTTATTTTAAAAATGTTTATACAGAAAATAATCGTGTTTTTCATTTTAATTTGTCATATTTTCAGTGAAACACTTTCATCACTTTCATCTAGTGGCTGTACAACACCCACGGAGTTGAATAATTCTTGGTCTGGAATAAACAGCTATACTACTGGTTTGTCTACTGAAAGCAGTTCGGTTTTCTCCTGGAGGGATGATGTGCGTCACAGAAACTTTTACAGTTCTCTTTCTTTAAATATTGTAGAAAAGATTAATATTTACTGAAAATGGACATGCAGCACCTCATCCATAATAGCCTAGTGATTGAATAAATTGAATTAATTGAATTTTTAAAAAAATAGTTTTGTTTACAAGTTGGTATCAGTGCCGCTAATGTGTAACAAAGAAAAATATGAAATGATGAAGTTTGAGGAAAACAAACCTGTTTTACTGAAGAAGGTAGGCTTAGGTTTCTGAGTCCATCAGAATGATTAAATATGTGTTTTCAAATACTACATAGTGTAGGTGATGTCTAATTTGAATTATTCTCAGTGTTTTCAGTTATAAAGTACATTCATGAACATCTGTATAATTTTCCCAGTCTTGGTAAATATTTAGCTCTTACATAAGCTCAGTTCCGTTTTGTAGATGATACAGAGAGAGGTCGTACCTTTTATGGAGGCTGACCTCTGAGGCATACCTGGTGCAGGCTGGCAGTGTTGAATAAATCCAAAAGCATTGCAGTTGCTGCCACTTTCATTTTAAAAACCCTTCCATGGCTCGTAGTGGTAGTTCTGCCATTATTCTTGCATAATGTCCTAACCTTTAGGGTACTGATCCTATCTGTCGCTGCCAGCCCTTCAGGAGAAAGCCTCAGTCTGGGTTATACAATAACCTGTATGAGAGCTATTTTCTCATTCCTTCTCAGTGTGATCCCTTCTGTAGCCTGAAATGCTTTGAAGCATTCAGCTGGAAGTGAACAAATGTGATTTGGGCCCTGAGTATTACCACTTTTTTTAGTATATCAAAGTATCTAATGTAAGTGGCAAATGTCATTATGAACAGTGCCCCAGCCGAGGAACCCTCAGCCAAGTGCTTGTCTCCACATCACTGGATAAAATTAGGCACTTCCCTGCTATTTTCATATACCTCTGTGCTCACCTGTCTCTGGCTGCACTGATTTGTGGGTTCAGTGAAGAGGTGTGGGAAGGGCATTTCTCACACTGAGACTGTTTCCTAACCACCAGACTAGGTCATGCAGATGGAAGGTGCCCCCTCTTTGCCCTCTTAGCTTTTTTAGTGAGAAAGAGCAGGGAACTTTGATGCCATGGGTCCCAGAGATGCAGTGTGATGCTTCATGTTGGAGCAGGGAGCAGGCTGGTAGTCCAGACACATTATAGCTTTTTTTTTTTTCTGTTGGCTAATCCTGGGCAGCTGCCAGTTGTCTGTTAACATTCTAGAAATGTAGGCTTCTAGTTCCTTTTTGCTAAATCAACTTGCTCAAGTCAGCTATATGGGAATTTTTTTTTTTTTTGCATTGTGGTATATAAATTGTGTGTCTCAAATAAATGGTCTGAACATGCATTCTGACATGCCCAGCTAAATTGATTCAAGTTGTTTTGTTCTTTATATATTGTGGTAATTTTAATTTAGACGCCAATTTGCTAACAACTATTAACTTTATAATATGTAGGAATTTGATAAAGCCAACACACAAAGAGTACATCAGTTATTTTTGGAGATTGATGAAATGCTGTTTGAAGGAAAAGTGACCACCCAAACGCAGAGCTTGCAGGTCGAATGTGCCGATTGGGTTGAACAATTTCCTCACCTAAGGTAAAGAAACGTTTTGCTAGTACTAGTTTTCATCAGTTATCATTCTAATTTGAATTTTTGGGGTACTCTCTTATGGATCGCTCTTAATGTATGGCACTGGATGTGGCACTTAGTGCCATGATCTAGTAACCACAGTCGTAGTGGATCAAGGGTTGGACTTGATGATCTCAAAGGTCCCTTCCAACCCAGCTGATTCTGTGATTCTATGATCAGCAACACTTACGCATTCAAATCTGTATCTCTGGGACTGAGCTGTGCCATAGTTGCACAGTAAGTGTGGAAAGTGGTGCTGGCAAAGGTAATTTAGCAGGATGTAATGAGAAAATAATAACACATCATTTTCATAATGACTTTTCCTAAATAAACAATACATCTTGTAAATAAATATTTGATTTTATTGTAAGTGAAAACATACTGTGAAATTCCAAGAAATTCAGTAATTCTGTAATTGATTCTTCTAAAAATTAATGAAATATGAAGGGCGACCACATGCCTCACATATACTGCACAGCCACAACATCCTCCTAAGCATGTAAAACAATGTGTTATATTAACCCAGCAATAACCAATGAATAGATATGAGGATGCACACATGATTAATAAGAATTGCTTTGCATAGATGTGCAGAATTTCTAGGCAGCCTGATGACTGCTTCTTGTAACACAGGGGACAAGTCAGTGTTGCTCTGCATTATACTGTCTTGCCTTCATAAATGGTGGCATGACATTCTTTATGAGATATGGTTACTCTTATTCTAAACATAGGCCTGCATGTGTAATGACTGTCTTCTAGTCAATAGTTTGTTAACACCATTAAAAAATGCTTTCAATAACTGTGGTATGCTTTCAGTGCTTTTAGGTAATTTGTAGAGGCTTGGTATCTGTAAATATAAACCAAAATCAACTAACAATTTCTTTGTCATGAAAAAGGCAGAATTGTCAAATAACCGAGGCAGTTTTCACTAGCATCAAGCCATATTTTGCCTTGTTTACATACTGTGAAAATTAATAGAGCATGCATAAAATGGAGACAGATTTTTGTGCTGTGTAATTCAATCAAAATATTAAGTAATTTCTCTATATTATTTAGGGTATTTTCACGGGGTAGAATTTATTTTAAGTGATTCCCTGTATGTAGTATTTTTTGATTCAAATCTAATGCTGGCAATACCAACCAAGTCCAAGAGGTTGAAAGTAAACTGAAGAAATCTGGGAGCTTCTGCATCATTTGCTACTAAGGGATGTGGTACCTCCTGTGGTTTAAAAAGAAAACAAAACTTATTTTCATTTATTAAGATGAAACCTTTAAACTTGGTGTGTGTTGACTAGTTACTCAGAAGAATAGCTTCTGGGATGCCAGATTTATTTCTGAGTTGTGCTTCAAATTGCTTGCTGGCTGTCCTTTTTTTTTTTTTTAATTTATAAAACAGCTGTGTTGATATATGAATATGTGGCTCAACATGTGCGAATAAATATACTCAAGAACTGTCATCAATAAGAGAAAGATCAGATCTATTAAAGAGAAAGCTTTTTGTTCTTGGCTTACAAAATAAAGAGTGAAAAAGGCCATTGCTTAGAGCTTCATGTGGCATAAAGTGTTGTTCTGTAAAAGGTAGTCTCAAGAAAACATGTTCAGGTGAGTCTGAACATTGCTGCTTGCACTACAGATTTGACTGGTAAATTCTATTGAGATCCCTTGTAAATTCTAGTGAAAAACAATTCAGTAAGGAACGATTATTTAACTATACTGTGTTCAGAAATTATTTTATACCATAATTTTGTGTATATTTATTAGAGTTTCTTTTACCTTTTCTGTCTATCCCTCTACATTATGCATTTTGGAGTTCCTGCATTTTCTGAACATTAATTTTAGCTTTAATTTTCCATGTAAACATTATTGCTTAGCACTTTTGCTCACACTGATGGATACTGAAGTTAGATAAGTAAAGGCACAGCAGATATTATTTGTCTTCTGCATCCATTTTTAAATGTTTCTTACGGAGTGTTGGTAAGAAAGGAAGTGTGTTTATCTGGCTTTAAAAGAATCTAACAAGTTTCACTATTTGCTCTTAAAATTTATAAACTAGAATCTCATCTAGTGTAAATCAGCTTCACTTTAATGACTTAAAAACTGGGTGATGTTGATGTATTACACAAGGCTCTGAGCCCTCCATGAGTTGCTTTTGAAAGCATATGTAAGGTGTGCTTTTACATTACCTACTGTTTGCAGGTATTTGTATTCTGGATCTTTGCATATGGCATAGGCTTCCATCTAAGAAACTGCTTATTCTCTCCTTTTATTCAGGGTTCTAGGAAAGCAGCTTCTAGTGCCAAAGGATGAAGGCTTTCAGCATTTTCAGAGCAGAAATGATACCTATGTGGATACTAAGTGTCTGCCTGGCCTCTGTGAATATACTAGTAATACAAAAGAGTATGTTGATTTTTTTTCAAGTTTTCGTTTTCGTCTTCCCCCCTTCAGAAGTATGTACAAATACTATTTTTGTATTAGTGAAACATATCAGTATAATTAAATATGGACTTTCTTCTTTCTTTGAATGTTTAATTTTCATTTTGTTGATTTTTTTTTTTTCAGGCTCTGCATTTCGGGCTCTAAACTGATCCCAACAGCATCTCCAATACATAAATCACTGGATTCAAGTTCCACTAGGATTTCTGACTCAGCCATGTATTCCTTCCTGGAAGAAGAAATCTATGATATGGATGGAAAAATAGAAGAATATCTTGCCTTTGACAGCAAGGAACTGTAAATAACAGATATATGTATTTTTGAAGAATATAATGAAAAATTATCAGTGAACCATGTCAGGGTTCATAAATTGTGTTTCTCTTCTGTAAGATACAGTTCCTTCTGTCCCTGTGTTTGGTAGCACAGTGGTCAGAGCACTCACTGAGCGTGTGGAAGATTAGGTATGTTGTCTTTCTAGTGGTTCAAAACTCACATCTTCCATGTCAGAGGGATGTGTCTTAACCACTAGTTGTTTTGAGGTGTTTGGTGCATGGAGATTCAGTAAAAAGAATATTTAATTATGAGATGGGGTAGAATGAAGGCATCCCTTCTTCCCAGGTGAGTGCCTTGAGCAGCAGGTTGTTTAGGGTCATTATACTGTACATTCTCTTATTGTCTGCCCTGATAAAGAATCTTAAATTCTTTCAGTGCAGTGTATTAGAGCTTTGTTAGGAGAGCTGCTGGTTGCAGCCTGCATTCAGAGCATTTTTGTGAGGAGCAGGAGTCAGTTATTTTCTTGACAGTCAACGGAGGTTTCCTGTGAGCCAGTTGAATGTTCCAGCAACTAGGCTACTGGGTGGATGAAAGATCATAATGTACTGTTTCCTAAAAGGCCTGTATGAGGGGAAAACTTTGGTAAGACTAGTTGGGCACAAAGCATAGCTTTTTATGCTTTTTTATGCACATTCAGGACAAAGACATGGTTGTTCTGAAAACCTGAGGAACCAGACTGACACCCTTTCAGTCCTGTTTCTGAGAGGGCTGGGGTTACTGCCTTTGAGAATACTCTTAGTATTCTTCTCTCCTCATTTTGCTAAGTAAGCAAATTTAATTTGAGAGGGACACTTGTCTGAAGGTGTTTTCTCCTTTGTGCCTCCTTCGTATGCCTCTTGTTTTCTTCAACTCTGAAATACCTTTTTCTTCATAACTAAAACATGAGGCATTAAAAAGCCTGATATGAAAATAGCTTGGTCATATTGTGATTTGGACTGCTCAGCCACGTTTCAGTTATAGTTAAGAATTATGCAGTTAAGTTTGAGGAAGAAGTGAAGAAGTGACTGAGAAAGGGAGATAGTAGAAACCAGTATGAATTTGGAATCATCTTTATGATCTCAAAAAAATGAATTCCTTAAAAAGAAATATGATGGCATTAAAAAAGAAAAAGGTGAAAACTTCCTTCCTGAGAGGTGTGTTAGAAGACCAAGTTAAGAAATGTTGCTGCAATGTGCTGCCCTAAGTAGGGAGGAAACAGAAAAAAAACCCAAAAAACCATAACTGTCCTCACAGCAGTGGAAAGGAAGAAGGTATGTGTAAGGCTATAGGCTCTGCTATTCTTGTCAGACTACAGAAATCCTTTAAAGTTGTTTTGTCTTTGATCGATGGTGGAGTGCTGCAGATGTGTGCAGGTACACAGGGCATGATAAAAAAAGAAATATTCTATGTTATGGTCCTCCTGACAAATGCAACAGATAATAGTTCATTTATGTTACTGTAAAGAGTATAGGATTTAGTCTCAAATGACTAAGTGCCATGTATAAAGGTTTTTCCTAGAGCTGCACATCTTTCTGTTGTAATGCCCTGGTGGGATTCTTTAATTTTTCAACTGCAAGCAAAAAAATAAAAGAAACCCTTATATGTGTATGATAGGTTCTGTTCGCATAGGTGCATTTGAATTTGAATTTTTTGTCAATCTACAGCTGACTGCCTTTTCTTCTGTATTTATGTTTCTGTATTGGAAGGAAAGTAAAAAAAAAAGGCAAAATCCATAAGAGTTCTTTTGAATTTGTTTCCTTTATTAGCGATGATGAGAGTTGGGAACAAAAGAAGTTGTGTCTCTCTGAGAAGAGGAGTAAGCGTGGCATTCCCCCTGTCTCTCCCAATGCCTGTATCAAAGATGCTGTGGCTTCTGAAGTGTTTGATCATGTTTGGAGCACTGTCATTGGAATATTGGAGGAACTGATTAAAAAAAATTGGGAAACTAGTATCCCAGGTATCTGATATTTTCAAATACGGTGTTTATTAAATGTAACTCAGAAAAGTGATTCTCCCCTACCCCTTAAAATAACCAAATTTTCCAAGCTTTATTTAAGATAACCAGTGCTGGAGCACTGTAAGATATGTAATGCCTTGCCATGAGAATGTATGCACACACACAACACACACGTGCACGTAAAATAAAAACTTTATTAATTTTCAGGGAGTTTTTTATGAGAGGTGGGAAAAAAAGGGAAAAATACTTACTGAAATAACTTCATTTTGGGAGAGCATGTTTAAAAAAATAAAAATCACTGGCTTGAGTTGCAGATTGATGCTGTTAGCAGGGGATCAGTGATGATGTGATGTGAATCTGGAACTTAGGAATCAGTCTCCTAGTCCTCAGTGTTTGAACTTTGATAATAAAAAACCCCTTTAGGTAGGAGATAGACAGTCTTGCTGATGTTAGGAGTTCACGAGTACAGGATGAAGAAATGGTGACGCATGTAATTTTATTTTATGTTTTCATATTCTAATGGACTGTAACAAGGAAAATTAACTAGAAATGAAAATCTATTTATTGTGCATATATTGTCTTTGGAGGCTGAGGGAAATTCTCGTTCTTTCAATGTATTTTAAAAGGATGGTAATAGAAGAATACCTGAGGGGGTTTTGGAAGTTACCTCAAGTATGAGGTACACTCAACCTCAAATATAAGAGTACAACAAAGTAAGAAATGGCAAAATTTCTCAGAATGCTTGCAGCATCAGAATTTAGCATTTCAGGTGTTACTGAAGTATAAAAGTCCCTTTTACATCACAGGCAGATTGTTTAGCTCTCAATATTATAGTTTAGGGAGGATAGCTTAGCAGTGTTATGATAGGTTTGATTTTCTATCTTTTTGAAGGTCATGAACTTATGACAGATAGCTAGTTACCAAAGTGTCTCAACTAGGAAGGAAAAGAGTTTGTATTTATAATAGAAATAAGATAGTAGTTTACACCCAAAATGAAACACCATGTAGCTGCTGTCAGACAAGGACACTATCAATAGACTTTTTGTTTTATACATATTTTTAAATTTTTTTTGCTGCTTAAAAAGAAAAATCTTTGGGGATTTTTAAATAACATTTCAAAGTCTTAGCAATATTTCCTTAAACACCCACCTCCAACTCTAACTGTATAGACAAACTTGTATGTCAGTGTCAGAGAAAGCATAAACAAATGGGAAAGCTTTTAGGAAAACATAATTTATGGTAGATTTTTAAATAATATGGAAACCTAAAAAGATATAAAAGTCTTTATTTACTGTGAAGTGTAATATTTTTTTGAACCCCAACAAAGGATGGCCAGTAAACAGAAAATTCCTCTTATTACATCTACTTTTTTTGCTGTTGTACAGAGTGTGAAAAAAAATTGGAAAAACTGAAAGCTGTTACAGCAAAACTGCCACATTTGCCAGCCATTCATATTATAACAGATACTGGGAGCATTCCTCTTTCCAGAGGCTCTGAAGCACGAAGTGTATCTTTTGGGCCTCATTCTGTGTCATCACAGGTAAAAATAAAAAATAACTTTCTGTCAAATGGTGTTCTTTTTTTCTGCAAACCTTGGACAGTCTTGGTTGAAACTTGAAAAGGCTCTTTTTTCTGCCCGTTTTGGTTTTTTTATACCAATTAGGTGTGCTTGAAGTCATCTGATTTAAAATGCAGGTTAATGAAATGTGCATTTTTTATTTGTTGTCACTTGTTTTTCTTTGGTAGTTCTTAAAGATGCCATTTATCCCTAAGATATTGCTGCAGTTACTTTACCAAGAGAGTCTTGTTAGACTGTATTTTGCCCTAGACTGTATTCTGTCCTTAATTTTGCTTTATTGTGGTCCAGTAATTTCTTGATAGAATTAAGAAAACAAAGTGGGCTTTTCCCTGGACTGCAGAGATGTGAAGTTGCAACTTCTTTTTCTCTGCAGTACACCCACCAGCACGTTGGCACTAGGCCTCACCTGTCTGTGGAAGCTCATGTTTATATTGATAAAATGTTCTGTTTTGTCCTGCTTGCTGCCTTCTCCCTCTGTCACCTGCTTTGCACACGTTTCCTTTTTCAACCACCACTTCTGGTTTTTTTCTCTCTCTGTCGAGTTCAAGCAACTTCATTCTCTTCCATCTGCTCTTTTACCATGCTTGTTAAGCAGTGAGATAAAGACCATGGAAAAGATAGTTACAGGGGTCTTGCTTCTCCTCTTTGGTGTGCTTTGCTCTGTAGTGCTCCCAGCAGCCAGAAGTAAAATGCGTACATAAATAATTTCTAGACTCTATGCCCTCTGCTGAGGGAAAATGGAAGCTTTGGAGAATCAAACTCTGTCTTCAACTGAAAGAGTATTTTAAATTGAATTGCACTTCAATAACAAAATTATGAAAGTCATATTTGTAAAAATCTGTTTAAAATAAGTGAATTTACATAGTTGCACCATCTACTACTGAGAATTCTATTAAACTGTCTTAATAGAAACTTTTCTAAAATACAAGTAAAATGTCTCTTAACTATGTGCTTTTTGAGGTCTTCCTTCAAAAATATAAGGGTTAACGCATAGTTATTGGTTTTTGATAGGTTCAGCGTTTCTCCAGCCACTTCTGTAGTGATTTGAATGGTGTGATGACAATTCAAGCAAAACCACTCCAACAGAGGCATGTTACCAGAGTAGAAAAAATACAGTAGGTTTTGATATTGACATTTTCAAAATGTGACATAATTCACACTGCATAAAAAATGTTTTTCAATTAGAAAAAGGCAATAAAAAGGCAGTGATTTTGTTTGTATGTATCACTGATGTGACAGTGATTTGCAGAGGTTGAAATGATATGCTGTTAAGGATAAAAGGATTCTTGATCCTAATTCATAATTTCTTTCTCTTTCCCTAGGAATGAACAAGAAGACAAACAGCAGAGCACTGCCTCCACTGCTCCAAATTCAGCACTTGCTAGGCTGGGGAGAATTTCTGATAATAGTATTCTGTCATCATCTCAGGCACTGCTGGCATCTTCTAGGAAACTACCAAACCATCGGAGGTTACCTTCTCTCACCTCTGACCAGCTCTGCTCAAAAGTTCCTAATATGTACAATGAGGAAATCCTAAGACAGACGAAATTGTGAGTTTTTAATTTTTTTCTCTGGTTTTCTCAGAACTTTACTGAAATTTCACCAGTGAAAGATTTTGCAAAATACTTGAAAACTAAGCCATGATTTGTTATTAATTGTAGAATTCAGAGAGGAAAAGAAAGCAAGCCAAACCATGCTTTTTTGAGGAAAGGCATTTGTTTTGTTTTTTTATTGCTGTATTAGGTGCTCTTATGTTTTGTAGCCAACCTCTATAAAGAAATGTACTACTTTATAATTTCATATTGCTTCAGTGAAGAAGTCTGTAACATGAATTTTCCTAAAAGAAGAACACTTAAAATTCTGTAGGGTTGCCAGCTCAGATCGTTTGTCTTCTGCTCATGCACCTGCAACACGGAACAAATTACCACCAATAAATTCTGATGCTCTTGAACAATATCTTTCAGTACCTCGACCTCAACAGAGCTCTGTAAGTTGTGTTCATTTTTGTACTGGTGAAGAACTTCAAGCTATTCAGAAATAAACCACTCTGTGTCACTGGTTGAAAGGACCAATTTTACAGTTTGTTTTGGTTTGTATTTCATAGATGGTTTTAACATGTTAATGTGAATTACACTGGGGTATCATTACAATGCAAGAGAAGTCTGTTTAAAACGGGTCACAAACAGATCACGGTGGAAAGACTTCTCTAACAACAGAAAAATCTGGTTTAAAAAAAATAGAAAAACAGCAAATCAACAAGATAGTAACCTTGCACATTTATGCATCTGGATTTAAAAGGCTCCTTTCAGTGTTTTATTCATTAATGTTAAGTTATAAGAAGTAGAAAATTATGCTGACTGAAGCAGAAAAGGATACCAACTGAACAAAACAGATCATCTTATACCAGCCTATTTTTGAAGGTTGGGGAAATCATAAATTACCAGAATGAAAGTAGATTGGCATGTTGATATTACTCTTCTTCTAAATAATATTTTGAATTGAGATAAATGTAAAATCTTTTATTATTTTAATTAATGTAAACCTTTGGGAATTAGAGACTAGTATTAGGAACAGTCTCACATCTGTTTGAAAAACATGAGAACCCTTAAATTGGTGCTTTTGGTCAGTGCAAACATATTTTTCTTTTCTCCTTGTGTACTTTTGTGTGGCAACAGAAAAAAATATTTTAACTGATTCAGTTGCTGCATTCTCCTAATGCTTTTTTTAATTCTCTCAGCCTCAAGGACGATATGCTCTTAACAGAGTGTCAAGTGCAGTGCCTCGCAGGATAGAGCAACCGGCACTCAGAGAAAGAACTGTTACTGTTAATCAATTTTCAAGGCCCAACACAACTCATACATTCAGGGTATGTTACAATATAAGTAGAGACATGTCAAGGGGAAGAAGCTTTCATTCATGCCCAGTGTTGATGTACAGAAGGTCTCATTTCTCTCCTGACTTCTGATGTACAGGGGTTCTTGCTACCTGTAGAGAGGAGGATGTTAAAAGTCTTGGGGAGGGTGTGGGACTATTGTATGAGGAAGAATTTTTTTTCAGGTCTGATGCATCAAACTGTTCCTTTGAGGGTTGTACGTGTGTTAGAGGTGTGCAGTCTTCCTTTGAGGGAGTCTGTATGCTAGAAGTGTACAGTTTTAGTGCTGCTTGGAGCTTTGCGCTTTGGTAGGATTCAGTCTACTGGATTAGATCATGAAAAACATCATAAAACCGTTTCAGTAGATAAGTGTATCACACTAGCTAGTAGTATATCTTCCCTTTTTACAGAGAGACACATCTCAGAAGAGATCACTGACTCCCATGGATATTGCTAACCACAGAGGGATGGGTCAAGGATTTTTGACAACAGGTAGGCAAAGTAAGAATTACTTAGAAAGTAAAAGACCAGAAAAATCTATGAAGCCATCATGCAGTCAAAAAGTGAAGTGCTCAGGAGGAACCATCTTGACATAAAAGAACAGGTGTGCTTGACAGGATCTTTTGAGTTTGGTTTTGCAGTTTCTTCTCACTTGGTCTGAGTTAGTCCTAACTGATTGGTAGGAAACCTGTAAAGCTTCTTTTTGTTGTTATGACATGGAAGGAGAAGGATTTCCCCTCATCTTGTATCTCTCTCTTTTTTTTTTTTTTTTTTTTTTTTTTTTTAGTATTTCAGCATGTTTACAATTATGGCAAGAGTAAGTGGTGTACCCATGTGGAGGCTAGATATTTTTGCAGCTGCTAGAGTAGTAACACAGATTCATGCTTGTGAGCTATTCATGACAAATTTTACTTTAGCCCCCAAATTAGTAAACTTTTTATGTGAAAAAGAAGTTTAAAATATGCATTTTTAATAGAAGTATAAAGCTCTCTTAAATTAAAAGAAAAAATCAATATTGACTTGCAACTGTGTCTTTCAGTTATAATACCGAAAAGAGAGCAACCCTGTGTGGCTCATTTTGTTTCATTTTTACAATAAAGCTGACTAGCTAGTTCCTGACGTAGTTTGAGTCTTTGTATATAACCCTTACTTGTTTTGAAGTTCCTTGAGTTTAAACAATTATATAATTGACATAATTATATAAAAGGTGATGTAAAAATAAGGGTAGGTTAGCAAACATTGATCTGAGCAGACTAGTGGAAGTAACTTACATATAAACTTGGAGTGTGTTTCAGGAATTATGACAATTAACAGTGTTTTATATTTGCCAGGCTCACAGCATCACTACAGATCTGTTCAGAGAAATTCTTCAACCTCAAGAAAGAGATTTCAAATTGCTTCTTAACCCATTTTAGAAAGAAGCAGAAACTCTCTTCACTGAATGACTGAGTGAAGCACTGAATTTGCCACCTAGTATCTGTGTGTAATAAAGAAGGTGTGCAGTGTGCTGGTGCTTACTGAGCCTTGTGATCTTCAGGATGTCTGCATTGCCTTCTTTTAAAATTGTCCGACCAGAGGTTAGATTAAAAATTAGAGCAAAATGAAATAAATGGTTGAGGTGTCTGCTCTGTTTGCAGCGTCGAGATGTTGCTGTTGCACTTTCTTCTCAGGCATTCCTCCTTTTTCTGTCTTTCATAGGGAATTGTTAATCTGTGTGTAGAAGTGAATAGGTTATGTTAAGGCTGTAAAGTCCTGCTCCCAGGACTGTTGTTTGCTCAGTGTTAAGGATGTTCTAGTCTATGTAAACATCAGTCATATATAAAATTTATATTTTTAAACAGGAGTTTGCAGTACTTCCTTCTTAATCACTGTTTCAGCATTTCTCTGTTTTTCTGCTTATAGCAGTTGGTTTCTTACAAATATTATCTATCCCTACTTTTTCTTTGTCATTTAATTCTTTTCTAATGGAATTCATTCATTGCTTTTGCTTACACTGTTCTGATCATCAATAACTATGGGAACTGCTGGGATAAACTTTGTTTACAGAAATAATTTTTTCCCTGCCAGTCCGAACGTGTTTGTAGATGCCGAGCAATTGAACCAGCATGCTGACAAGTCTGTAAGACTGTTCCCACTTCTTGAGATTTCTTATAAAATAATGTGTGTTATTGTACAAATTAATCATCTTTTGAAATATGTGAGCCTTAAACAAGAAAATATGTACTTAACTGATGAAAGCATCATTTCATACCTCTTTGTGTAGACCCAAATGGGAAGATCAAAGAGGAGACTTGGAATTGTGTTCTGTCCAGCAAACAAAGCACTGATCAGATCCCTGGCTATTAGTGCTGTGAACATTCGCAGTCAGGGATTCCTCCTTCCATCAGAGAGCCAGTAGTTGAAGCAAATGTGTAAGTGCTGTTGAAGTGTAAAGGAAGGATGAGAAAAAGTTACTTGCCCAAATTGTGCAAGTAACACAATTAAGACTAGTAACAGTTTTTTCTTCTACTTAGGAACTAATACCAGTTCTCCTCACTTTTTATGAATGTTCAAGGACTGATAATCCAAGGCCCAGAGCATTTGTAATGTATATTTTATATCTATACTGTTAGTCAGATTTCTTTTTTTTGTAAATGGTTTGTAAGCACTGTATTCTTTTGAATACTGGCTTAGTATTTGTCTTTGACTACACTAAGTTCACTCACTGGTGATGGTATGTTATAGTATCTGAGAAAGCAGAATGCTTGAACTTTGGAGTTGCAGAGCAATTTCATACAGTTGCAGGTCAATTTGATGAAGTTTCTTCAGAAATTTCACGTCAAAGATGACTTAACTTCCAAAATTCACTTTCCAAAATTCCAGAATTAATACCTTCAGCAACACGTCCAAAATATACTTTTGCTCTTGTGAGTGCTTCCTCCTCTACTGTACAGACCTTGACAAGAATGCAGAGAAGCGATGGCAAAATGTGTCCCTTTTCATCTTGTACTTTGCATTTTGTAGCAATGCAGATCTTATGTTGTGAACTAAATGAAAAGATGAACATGCACTAGTCGATTCTGTAACAACAGAAGTGGTAACCAGTGAATCACTGAGGAGTGGTTCATCATCTGGTGCTTTGCAAAAGAGAGAAGATTGATGACATCTGTGAAGCAATGGAGCTCACTCAGTTGATTTCTATATGGAGAGAAGAGCAGAACAACAAACAGTCTGCTAATTACTAGAGCAGCAATGGAATGCTCTCAGCTGGCAGGAGAGAGGGAAGAGGAATATTTGCTGTCTACCAGAAGTATTTTAACACTTTTCCCCTTTGGTCAGTTTTTGGGCACCTGACAGAATCACAGTCATCTTACATCCTGATAATCATCATATCGTTGACTCATTCCATGTTGGAAGGGACCTCAAGGATCATCTGGTCCAATCTTTATTGGCAAAACTCCTGACTGTGGCTATAACAGTCTAGATGAGATGGCCCAGCACCCTTCCGAGCTGAATTTGAAGTGTCCAGTGTTGGGGAATCCACAACTTCCCACATAACGGGATCATTTCAATGGCTGATTGTTCTCATAATGAAAAATTTTCTTCTTGTATCTGATCAGAATCTCCCTAAGTATGACTTGCACCCATCACCCCTTTCTTTTTTCCATATGATCCCTTATGAAAAGGGAGTCTCCATCTTCTTTGTATGTACTCTTTAAATAAAGGGACATGATGATAAGGTGTCCTCTAAACTTCTTTTCTCCAGGCTGGACAAACACAGTTCTCTCAGACTTTCCTCCCATGGCAGGTTTCTCAGTCCTTTGTTCATCTTTGTGGCCCTTCACCTTATCCAGCCTGTCCACATCTTTCTTGTATAGCAGGGACCAAAACTAAACACTATTCTAGGTGTGGCCTGACCAGCACTGTGTAAAGTGGGATAGTGATTTCTTTATCTCTGCTGGTGATGTCCTTGTTGATGCAACCCAGCACTGTCTTGGCTTTCTTTGCTGCAGCAGCAAACTGTTCACTCGTACTGAGCTGTACTCATACTCCACCAGCACCCCCAAGTCCCTTTCCATCGAGCTACTCCCCAGCCAGGTAGGTCACATCTTGTGCTGCTCTTCCTATAGTATATTTTTCCAAATGCATGACCTTAGCATGTCCTTATTGAACTTCATCAGGTTGTTAGCGTACTCTTCCAACCTGTCCAACTCTTCCTGTAGGGTGACTCTCCCTTCCAAAGTGTCTACTTCCCCACTCAGGTTGGTATTGTTGGTAAACTTCACTAGGGTACACTTGATCCCATCATTGAAATCACTGATGAAAATATTAAACAGTTTTGTACTAATATCGATCTCTGAGGGACTCACTTGTGACAGTTGCCAGTTTGAAAGGGAACTATTTACACCACCCTATGGCTGTGACCGGTCAGCCAATTCCCCACCCACCACATGGACCACTTGTCCAAACCATCACACATCAGTTTCTGTAGGAGGAGGCTGTGGGAAATCATATCAGAGCCTCGGAGATACCCAGGTAGACAATGTCCACTGCTTACGCTGTATCAACTGAGCAGGTTACTTTGTTGTAAAATGCAATACTTTGTTGTAAAAGACAATCATCTTTGTCAAGCACACTTTACTCTTCATGAATCTATGCTGGCTTTTCCTAATCACATGCTTCATTAGGCTTGTGACAGCTCCCAGGAGAATTTGTTCTGTAAGTTTGCCAGGGACCAGAGTAAGACCGATGGACCTACCATTTTCTGCATCCTCCTTTAAGTCTTTCTTGTAGATGGGATTGACATTAGCTGCCTTTTAGTCTTCTCGGATGTCTCCCGAACTCTACAACTTCTCGAAGATTATGGAGAGTGGCCTTGCGCCATGTCAGTCAGCTCTCTTAACACCCTTTTTGGGTACTGTCAGAGCCCATCAATCTGTAGGGATCAAGCTCCTTTAATAGTTCACATACCAACCCTTCCTTCACCTGGGGTGGGTCTGTGTTTGCATCAGCCAGGATTTTTGTTCCTAAGGCCTGGTGCTGGAAAGGACATAGGTGAAGAAAGTACCTCTGCCTTTTCAGCCTTAATGGTGACTAATTCATCTCTTCTGTTTAACAGCAGGCAAATATTTTCTGTCTGTCTCTGCTCTTTGTTTACGTACCTGTCCTGGTTTCAGCTGGCATAGAGTTTATTTTCTTCCTAGTAGCTGGCACAGTGCTCTGTTTTAAATTTGGTATGCGAATAATGTTGATAACACTGGTGTTTTGGTTGTTGCTAAGTTGTGTTTGTCCTACACCAAGGACATATCAGTGTCCCATGCTCTGCCAGTGAGGAGATCAACAAGAAGCTGTGAGGGAGTATGGCCAGGACAACTAACCCTGACTGCCCAAAGGGATTTTCCATACCACAGAATGACGTGCACAGTATATGAACTAGTGGGAGTTGGCTGGGAGCGGCCCATCGCTGCTCGGGGGTGGACTGGGGATTGATCGATCAACAGGTGGTGAGTGATTGTATTATGCATCACTTGTGTTTCTTGGGTTTTATTCCTCTTCCTATTTTTATTTTACTTCACTGTATTTCAATCATTAAACTGTTCTTAACTGATGGTTTTATCTTTGTTCTGATACTCCTCTCCATGCCATTGGAGTGGGGTGTCTGCTTGGTACTTAGTTGTACTCTGAGGCCATGATAGTATCTGAAGATTCTGTTCTTGTAGGTTTCGACATCTCTGACTAATTTCAATTTGAGCTGAGCTTTTGTTTTTCTAACTGCATCTCTGCACACCCTGCAATGCCCAATTACGTGGGCATAATCCTGAAGCCCAAAAGAAGGTTCAAAGAGAACTGGATGAGATGTTTGGTAAGATTTCCATTCCTCCTTTGTCAAGATTGAAGAAATGGGATATACCATGTGGCCATTCAAGATGCTTTAAGTAGATAGAAGTAGTTGGGACTAGAAGATGCATGAGAGAGTACTGAGAAAGTATACCAAGTAAAGGGTAGGGTTTTTCTCTTTTATAGTTATAGATAGTCACTAATTTGCTGTTGTTTTGACCCTTCTCCTTTTTGCTTTTTTCCTTAGAAGGATATCAAGTATTGAATGGCACAAATATTCAGATCATAATTTATGCCGTACACAGAAACCCCAAGATCTTCTGTGATGTGGAGGAGTTCAGGCCTGAGCGATTCTTCCTCGCAAATTGTAAGGATGAGCACCTGTATGCTTTCCAAATATGTAATGTTGTTGATAGTTTGCATGCATCCATGACTTTGTACTGACTTTTCTGGTCTCACTAGGGGGTGATGTGGAGGAATTTTCACCCCCATTTTCCCCTTCAGTCTTGCAATGGTTTCATGGTAGGCTTTTCAGCTGAGTGTAGGTGTCAAGGTGTCAGCAGCGGGGCTGCTGCTGGGATGGCCTCTGTGAGAAAAGACCTGAGAAGAGAACACACACGGTTCCTGCTGGCTCTGTGATGGACCCGCTGCAGGCCACAGCTGAGCCCAGCAGCCAAACCAGTGACATCTCTGTGAAAATGTATTTATAAAAGTGTACAAAAAAATGCTGAACAGGCAGAGGAGGATGGAGAGGGGAAAGATAGTAAAGGAGCAGTGCAAACAACAAGGTCAGTGAAGGAGGAGGAGGAAGTATTCCAGGC